TGATTGCTGAGACAAATACCTGACACCCAAAGTTAAAGGGGAACAAGTCGCCATTTAGCTCAAACTTTGTGAAGGTTTCAGCCCATAATCAGCCGGCTCCAAGGCAGAGTGGCACATGGCAGAGGGGCGTCGCAGAGGAGAAACGGTTCATGGCACCCACAGGGTAGCAAAAGCAACAATGGACCTTCACAGTGTCTTTCTGTCCCTTTTATCTTTTTCAGACTATTTAGGGCAGGCATGCAGCACTCACGCCCTTAATCCTAGTGCCCTCGGGCCTAGCCCCACCATGAATAAATCACACACTATAGATTCAGACACCTCCAAAATAGCCTCTGACCACATGAGGCTTTGGGGGAACATCTAGACACAAACCATGATAATATTGTATAAAGTAATAACATAGAAAGTAATACTAGATTTCTATCTCAAACCACTCACCAAAAGAAATTCTTGCTGTTATAAAGATTTAAATGGAAAAGCTAAAGCTATTAAAAATTAAAATATCAAAAATATGAGTTTTAAAAGTCAGTGGGAGCTGGGCCTGGTGGTGCACACCTGTCATTCCAGCACTCTGGAGGCTAAGGCAGGAGGATCGCTGTGAGTTCGAACCCAGCCTGGGCTACATAGTGAATTCAAGGCCAGCCCGAATTACATAATAAGACTCTGTTTCAAAAATAAAACAAAACAACAAGAATCAGTGGGTAGAAAAAAAACATTTCTGAGCAGAAACCAGAAGGAAAAGAGTGACATATATAAACGTGCATATTTTGAATTTTCTAATAGCAAAACACAAAAACCTACTTTAAAAAAATGTAACCAACACGTCCTTGATTTGGAAGTAAACCTTTACTAATTTATGTAAAAGATGAAAGTACAAAATGAAAAATTAGCAAAGAACATAAACACAATATCTGGTCTCAAAATTCTATAAATTTGTTGATTAAAATTAAATAAATGATGATTGAGCAGGCCACTCAGACTATAAAGGGCCAATAAGCATACAAAAAGTATCAAATCATAATTTTAAAAATGAAAATCAAAAGCAAAATGTTTTTGCTGATCAAGTTGGCCAAGTTTTTTTTTTTAATTGTGATAATGCCTATGATGATTAAGAGTGCAGGGAAATACACACTGGTGTATCCCTTGTGGGAGTGTGAACTGGAACCTTCATAAAGGACTATTTGGCATTGTGGATCAAGCACTTTAATGTATGAGGCAGAATTTGCGAATTTGAAACGCCATTTAATGTTTCTCTGACCTTATGGAACAGCAAACAACTCCTCTGAGTGTTTTTGGAAGATTCCTTTCCAAGAGTAACTGTGAGCCCACAGAGTAGTAACAGGAAATGCTTGTGGCACGCGCCCTTCTCTTAGATGGAGTTGATAGAAAGCTCTACCCCAAGGCCATGGCGCTCAGGATCGGTCTAAACTGGAACAGGGCCTTTCTTCTGTTCTTTTCCGCCTTTTCCCTGACTCTGTACAATGGGAGAAAGCCAATACCCTAACCCTGAAACTTTCCCTTTAGCTGGTCCCACCTTGTCTGGCCAACTCAGTGAAGAGTGAGATGCATCACATATGGGCTAAATCTTTAATTGATCTCTGGTAGTCTGCAGCCTATTTTTCCTTGCAATGAAACCAGTTATGCTCCTGATAGAGGCTGCTTCATCAGGCTGGGTCTTGTGTGAAGGTAATGTGGATAGCATAGAAAGATGGACAATATGTCCTGTGAGTGAAAAAATCCATCTTTCTTATGTAAGGGCACTGAGACAGTGTTGTCCTAGTTCATCCCAGGCAGTCTGGACTGACAGGATTGCCAAAGAGCTGCCAATTACTGACTGAGTTCAAGTCCAGGTCTGCTTTTACTCCGGAACCTTAGACTTGGTTTCTGTAAAATGGAATTATGTGCTACTGGTATCAAGCTTGCAGGGTCACTGTGAGTATGAAATGACCTAAAAGATGAAATGAATTGTTATTCGTGAAGAGCAAATACTAAGCTCCGTACTATTAGTGTTTGTTGAATAAAGATATCGTGTCTGTGTGTGTGTGTATGTGTGTGTGTGTGTAAGTAAAACAGAGCCTGATGGGGCTCAGGATATAGTTAGTGGTGGAGCACTTGCCTAGCACATGTGAGGCCATAGGTTTAATAACCAGAACCAACACACAAGAAAAAAAGAAAAAAATGCTAGGAAGGTACACAACAAAGTGTTAACACATTGAATTTAATTTATTTTCTTCTTTCTGTTTGGCAGGATTTACATTTTTCCTTTTTGCTTAGCCACATCTTATAGCTGTTCTACAACACAGATATTTCTTGAGTAATTAAAATATTCCATCCTCAAATCCCAATGCATTCTGCTAGTTTTTAAGATTGTAATTTAAAAATGTATAGTTTTCTTTGTATGACTTCTTTACTGTGATAACTTCTCAGGCACATAACTTTAATTTCCTTATGAACATCAACGAAAAAAATGGTTTCTGTACAATTGCAATTTTCTATGGAGAATTGAGGTGGGTAATCCCAGCAGCAAAAATCTTCAGCAAGCGACTAAATATTTAAGTATTGATGTGTGTGGCTGGAAATGTTTTGATTCCTAATATGAGTGAAATGGGCCTCTCTAAATAAGATATAAGGTAGTTTAGCCACTAATAATTAGGACCCTGGTTCTCTGAGCTGTCTCAGGTTCACACAAGGGGAGCCTGGTTTCTCACAGGATTAGAGCCTGGCTGTGGGGAAGGAGGGTGCGGGTGAGCCCGGGTCACTCGCTGAGATTTCTGTCCTCACCATGCTCTTCCTGCCGCCTGCACCAAGCCCCTTCTATTTGCTCTGGCAGGAAGGAGGCCTGGCAGAGATTTACACAAAAAAGTCCAGACCCCAGAGAAGCACAACACCGTATCTATTCCCAGCGCTGGGGAGCAGAGGACTCCGCGGGGAGGCTCCCCCGCTGCCCCACTATGCTGCGGGCTCTTCCGGGTACGGGGGACAGCAAGGTAAAGCTCAGAGTTAACAGCTCACACACCATCAAGTAATAAATGAAATGAACCCTCTACCCTGAAAATTACAAAGCACGGCTGAAATGAATTACAGGAGACCTTAAATATATGGAAAGACACATTATATTCAAGGCTAGAAAATCCAATATTGTTAAGACGTTCAGTTTTCCCAAACTGATTTAAAGTGAAAATATCAAAAATCCCAGCAGGGTTTTTTTTTTTTTGTCTTTTGAGGGAGGGGAATTAAAAGCTAATTCTAAGGTTTATGTAGAAATATAATGAATCTAGAACAGCCAAAACAATCTAGAGAAAATGAAAATTGGAAGCAAACTACCTGATTTTCAGGATTACTATAAAGCTTTTGCAATCAAGACCAACAGATTAATGGAACAGACCAGAGAATTTAGGAATAGATTCATAACTACACCCACTGATTTTTACCTGAAGCATCAAGTCAATTCAGCAGGTAGAGGAAAAGATTTTTTAACAAGAGGGCTGAAATAAGTATATATTCCCTAATATATGCCTACTTCTATATGTGAATAATGATTTCAGACAGATCACAGAATTAACTATAAAAATCTAGGGCCGTGAAGTTTTACAAAAAAAACCCAAGAAGCAAAAAAACAACAACAAAAAAAGGAGAGATCTTCCTAATCTTAGGATGAGTAAAGATTTATTAGAGAGGGCACAGGAAATAGGTAACATAAAAGAAGAAAGATGAATTTCATTTCATCAATATCAGAACATTCATTGTAAAAATAAGTATAAGTCATAGACTGGGGAAATATTCTCTGTACACATATCTTACAATACATAATGGAAATATTAGGCATTTTATTTAATGGCTGTTTTGTGGGTATATACAGTTGCCAAAAGTTTTCAAATAAAACGCTTAAAAATCTGTTACTTTGTTGTACATAAATTATATCTCCATTATTTTAAAAAATTCAGGATAAAAAAGCATGTTGTATCTGTAGACACAAATGGCTAAAATTCTCAGAGCTAATGGGTAATTATTTTCTTAAATTTTATCTCGCAAAATAAGACTAGAAAACCCCCCTTCCCCATCCATACTGCCCTATAAGCCCTTGGTGATGGACAAAGACTTATCTTCTTAGGGTATGCATCACATAGGGATTAGAATCATCAAAACCAGTGAAATCTTACATGGAATGATTCAGGACACATAAAGTTAAGTAAATAGCATGGGAGAGAGGATATGCCACCTCTAAAAATGGTGGCTGGTAAAAAAGAAGAATTTAGGCAGGATTATTCAAATAAGATTTTGTATCTTCAGAAAAATGTAGGCCAGGGTCTTAAAAATACCGGATTCCAAATTATCTTTTATAAAGTTGAATTAAGTAAACAGTGTATTTACAATTTGGTTAGAATTTATGAACACATAATTCTCTCCACATAAAATGTTTAAACCAGGAGTGATCTTATTTGGTAATTTAACTTAAAAGGACTATACTAAATGATATACAAAAGTTCAACTAACCCCAGCTTAAAAATAACCATGCTATACCTTTCTAGATTTAAAAAAATAATAGAAAAAGTACATTAAAAATATAAAATACACAAAACGTCCACTGAGTTTAGTTTCAGTTTCCATGTGTGACTACCTCAGTGATTATAAAATAAAGGCTGCAAGTACATTATTTGGGACCGAACATGACATTGGCAAGCTCAGGCAAGGCTTATGAATTGAGAAGTGCACTGCTGTTCCAGTACTGGGCCCTCAGTGGCATTATTTTTTTTGGCAGCTGAGGTTTCAGGGTGTTCTCGGCATGAAGCCAGCAGTCCCAGTCATCAATAAGGAGCTTATAGTGTGCCCCAGGCAGGCAGCCTTTCTCCTGGGATTTCCATTGTTTCCTCCCTAAGCACTACAGGCCCAGGATGGCTAGTGCTGCTTCTGGGTACGTCAGGAACCTCCTGGATGCCCCTGGGCTTTTACCCTGAGGCCAGTGGGAAATCATCCACACACGTGCATCACATCTTACATGGGGACTCCCACGATCATGTTATTTTTGGGGGAGCAGCTCTCCGGCTCCATGGATATCACTTGGACAGAGTAGCCATGCTCTTCTGCAGCTCTCGCTCGGTCCAAATCCACCAGGCACATGCACTGTTTTCCTGAAACACAGGCAGACGGCACCATGAGATGCTCTTCCGCTGGCAGGGAGATTTCAGTTTGTCTAAGGTTGTCTGTCTACACAGTGACAAAATCCCCAAGTGCTGTGGAAACCCTGTTAAGTTGCTTTCAAGTTAGTTCTTGATCAATATGGAGGGAAGGCAGTTACAAATACACATTGCAAAGATTTATCTGTGCCCATAAAGAAGGTTAACCTTTTCAACTGTATGAATAAATAAATCTCAAATTAGAACTATAGATTCCATTTTCTACAGTGGTTAAAAGCCCTTTGAAAACTTTCCCTCTGTGTTCCTATAAAATTGCATCATTTATAACATTGTGAGAAAAATCTGTCTTTGAGAATATCTAAAGTAACTTGCTGACAAAGAGCCATCTGAAAGACATTTTCCACCTGGAGTTTTTCTGGACTATGAAGAAATAAGAACTGGAAAATAGTTGAGGAAATTCTTAATTGTGTGATGATGATTTCAGGTAGACAAGTAATGCTGAGTGCAATATACTCTTAATTTCTCAGATCTCCCCCACCCCTACAAAATAGTGATACTCATTTCTTTGGCAGTCTTTCAGAAAGGTAAGAGGAAACCTGACTAGCAAGCAAAGCGGTTAATTTGTTTTCCCTTGGCAAACACAAGCATCAAACTTGAAAAGTAGCTCAGGAAGAAAATGATTTGGGGCTGAATGTATGCAGAGCCATGGTTTACTTTCATACTTTCAATTGCTCTTAATTCAACATGTAAGTTTCCTCATCCTCTTGGAAAGGTTACAGACTATGCAGAACTGCATTCATTTGATTTTTTTCCTCAATAATTATAATAATGGCTGAACATTATTTAAATACAGTAATTTATTTGAGTGACAGGGAAACTGCTATACTAAAATGACTTTGGAAGTGGAGACAGATAAATGAAATAGAAAACTTCTGTGGAAGGTAGAATCCTTATAGAAAAAAAAAGTACTGTGGAAGGGGAACGCAGTGGTGAGAACTGGTGGAGACTCAGATTTAAAATGTTGATGTTATGTGTGTCCTTAAAAGGACCGTGCTGTAAAGAATGAACTGTGTGAGAAACCATGATATGGAAGGAGAGGTCTAGACTTCCACTCAAGCAAAACCGTCACCTCTTCATCAACAGCTACATGGCTGATATTCCTTTCCCCTCAAAATGTTGTCCTCCTTCAGGATATCTGTAAATGTTCCCCATCTACCTTTTAGTTTAAATTGAAACGTTCTCTGTCAGAGTGGGATGCTCTACATTCTGTCAGGACCCACCCTGGGCTTGTATTTCAGCTCATTTACCCTTGGCTTTGATCCCAGTCTGGTCATTAATTTTTTCTTTTTCGTTATGTATGAGAACCGTGTTTTCACATGCTTAAGTGTCATTACGACTAAAATGCAGCTGTTAGTAGTCTACCTTTGGAGGCCTGGAGAACTTTCTACAAAGTATCCACAGAACACAGAAAGCCGGTCTGAAGCAGAGATGCAGACATCTGATGGAATCTATGGCTTTGTATGCACCCCACTTCCTGTCAGCAGTCTTGGCCAATCTACTTCCTCAACTGCAGCAACTTCCCTCCAGTCCCTCCTCTCTGCCTCTGAACACCTCCATCCACCATACTAACTGTGACTTTGCTGAGCTGTGTGGCTCGAATATGTCCTGGAGACGGCATGGGCTGGAAACTCATGCCCCAGTCCAGTGTTGGGAAGGGAGGTGATCGGCCCACGAGCACAGACTAAGTGTGTTAATGCAGGCGTGGGTTCGTTATCAAGAGAGCGGCTCTTTACAGGACGAGCCTGCCCTTTCTCACGTGAACGTTCCCCCTCATCTGTCTCATCTGTTCTCATTCTCTTTCTCTCTCTTCTCTTCTCTTCTCTTCTCTCTCCCAAGTTAAGACACAGTAAGAAGCCCCTTGCCAGATGCCGTCCTTCAGATCCCCCAGCCTCCAGAACTGTGAGCCAAATCGATTTCTGTTCACTATTACTCAGTCTGTGGCTTTCTGCTACAGTGCTGCAAGTGGATTGAGCTGTGGTCCAGTGGAGCTATAGCAAAGGTAAACTGCACTAACTCAGTGCTGGGGAGGGAAGTGTTTCCGTCTCAGAGTGTGAGATGAGAAGGGAACCGCTGATCCCTATCTCAGGCCCAAGTGTCTCTCCAAGTGTGAGCATCTTGCCATGCTAACTTTGCCTTGCAAGTATAAAGTTAATTGTTTCTCATGCAGTGTGGCTTTGAGTGCAAGCTGATACTAATCGTGTGCTCAGCCAACTGATCCTGTTTCCCAGTGCACTATGGACGATAACAGGGTAGCTGGGATTCTGGAGGACGGAGGGGCAATGTCCAACTGGGGCTTCTCTGAATAATTTCCAGGATTATTTGGTTTTACCCACCAAGCTAAGCCCTGAGTTTAGAATCTCAACCTCTAGTGGTGACTCCAGTGTGCTGAGAAGCAGTACTGCAAGGGGAGCATGAGCTTCATGTCAGGAATCAAATAATTTGGGCTCACAGTGTAGCTCCATCACCTGCCACATGAAGAACACCAGGTAGGCTTTTCATCATTGAAATAGAAATGATACTATGCACCTCATACGCCCGTTTGCGAGTGTTTACTGAGATATTAGGTGAGGGCTTGTAACTCAGTGTCTAAATGTATAAAGACAGTTCTGATAAGGTTTCAGATTTCTTTTTTCTAAAGTCCTTCATAAATCAAATACATCATAAATTTGAAATGGTTCTGTGGTCTTCTAATCTGAGTAGTGCTTAATATTGCAAATGTTGAACACATTTGTCTTGATGAATAATATATTTTTTTCTGAGAAAGAAAACATCATCCTCATTTATACATTTTTAGTACATCAATTTTAGCGTGCACAGTGGACTTTCCCATCTTTATTAACTTCTTTGGTGTCTTTTGATAGATCCTGCAGTTGGTTCATAATAGAAAGAAAGCTATTCTGTTCAGTGTAAAAACACTGAAAATATATCGAAAGGTATTAACCAAAACGGGATGAGATGTTATTATAATTAAAAATGCTCTTATCAATATGGGTTAAATTTCCTGGGAAGCACAAACTCCCGCTTCTTGTTGCTACATGGCCCAGTTTTGCCCACCTAGCCTCAATCTATCCACTCCTGGGCAATTCACGCACCGTCCACATCGCAGCTGCCCTGTGAAAACGCACCTGTCAGCCTGCGCTGGGGTGGGAGCTGGACGGCTGTCTGATCTGCAAATCTGCACAGAATCATGTGTTCCTAAAAGAAAAGGTAATGGGATATGGGTTTATCTCAGTCTTCTGTTTCAAAGTTGTACAAGCAAATGAAAACCGAGAAAAAAAAGCTACTTCCCTTTTTCTGGAGTTCCACATTGTTTAACTGAGTAAAGCACTACACAGAGAGTGCTTTTGGAAAATGCAGTTTGAGAAGATGGTGCCCAATAGCTTCTTCCCTTCACCACGCTGCTTTCAGCTGTAGTTCTGGAGAAGAAGCCCACAGAAACCCTTGGGGTCACATTGCCCCATTGCTTTTAGGCAGAATGGGGCAAAATGTTATCACGTGTTCAATTAAAAGACCAACAGCTCACTTCATTTTTCATTTATAAAATTGACTTGAGCCTCTTGGCCTGGGCTCCCAGAGGACATGCTACGTGGCTCCCCGTACACGCGGAAAAGGAAGCCAGGTGTTGGCCGCTGTGGCTCCACCAGCCCCAGGGACCCGCAGGCTGCGCTCAGGAGCTGTCTCCAAGCTCCCGCGACTGGCCTTAGCGGAGGGCAGCCTGGCGCTCTCTGAGCCTCCCTCCAAAGGCTCCGGGTGGCCCCTCCCTCTCTGCTGTAAGACCACCCCAGGGGAGACCTCAGCAAAGGGAAGGAGGTTTTTTACTTCTGCCTATCAGTTTTAGGAAGGATTTCATTAATGGGGAGAAAAAGGCCTTAAAGGATCAAAGTCGATGACCTTAAATCTGCAAGTAGCCCAAGGAGAATGGCTGGGCACAGCCAAAGTGACTGCCAGGCCCGTGACAACTACTGGCTAGAACAGTTATGGGCCCGAGGGTGCAGGCATCAGCACCCACTGGCTGGGCAAACGGGGGCACTCAGACACCAGGCGTCCTCAGCATGCTGGGCACGAAGTCTGAAGCCTCTGCTTTTACAAATACGGCAAGAGACAGGATTGTGGCAATTCTCTAAAGCGGGGATATATTTGTCTCAACTTTTATGTATTTAAAAAATTATAATGTTCACTATAAAATCTAATGGCAAAGGGTAGGGAATTAATGAAATGGTTCGAATGAATAACTTTTATAAATTCCCACAGACTAACTAGTCTCAACAAGGGGGCAGAAGAACAACTCGGAATAATGCGATTTGACGAGAAGGTGAATACAAGCATGTCCTGTCCTCTCGGTGCTTCTAAGCCATGGTTCTCAGGTGGGAAGGGAGGTCAGGCACAACTACAGGCACGCTGCAATCCTCTTACTCTGCTTTATCAGAATTATGTGTACGCTCTCTCTCTGCAAAGCTAAGTTTGAGAGGGCATCTCACACAGCAGGTTCTCAGCAGAGATTTCTGGCTAAATTGAACTGTGGAGAAGAACATTTCCCAAGCGTTCTTCAGGGTATTTGGGCCTCATGTCCCTCTCCAGGCCACATATTTTGATGGAGCTAAATGAAGCGAGCAATTGTGAGATGTCATCTTGCCACAGGGTCCGAGCAGTGAGACTTCTCCACAAAGCGGGCCGGGGCAAAGCCGCTTTGGGGGTGCAGGGGGAAGAGGAGGTACCAGTGGGACCCTGGGAAGCTGCTGCTCTCTGGAGCGGTCTGTGCCACGCACCCTGTCTCAGGGAGTTTCACTCTTTTCCAGCCAGCAGGACTGCGGCCCATCTCCTCGCTGCCCGAGTTTCCCCGTACCCTCTCTCACTGTTTAAGAGGGATCTAGTTTTTGCTTTTCCCAATTTATTTGCTACTTCATTGGCAGAGCCCTGTAAGAAAGCAGAGGTCCTGTATTTTGAATCTTATGCAAATAAACTTTCTGGGGTCCTAATGTTTCCCCGAAAAATCTTAAGTTTCCTAGAATGTGGCCATGCTTAAGATGTCCAGCATATTCAAAGGAGGAAGGTGCAGCTGGGTCCCCTTTAGGAGGCAGGAAGGAGAGGGGATGGGGTACAGCCGCTGAGTTGGTAAAAAGAACACGACAAGACACTGTGTTCCATTATTTCACTGTGAGGAGGAGAAGGCAAAATTCATAAAATGGAGGGGCTGGTCTAAAATGAAACTATGTTTTTAGTGGGTCTGTATAATAAGTGGAATTGACCAAAACAAAACTTCACACTAATTTATCAAGTTTCAGTGGGATTATGCATGTATTTCTCTTACGTGGTATTTAGCCCTGTTTATGCCCTGTTATACGCAGCCCTTGCTCAGCGAGGCGCGGCGCAGCGCAGCGGGAGGTGAGTGGTGCAGGGTGCTGAATGAGGCCGCCGGGTGCTCGGAGAGCTCTGGGAGTCAGTTCTGTCGTGGAGCTTTCACACCTGCCAGGGACATGGCCGGCCCCAGCTCCAGACTAGGGGCGCCAGTCTATGGTGCAGGCAGCTGGGACCTGTTTAGGGACAGCTTGCAAGTCAGTAGATTTTTTATACTCTGAGAGGGTTCTAAGCTAACAATGACAAGGAGAATGAAGAATACGAAAGAGATTTGTTTGTGGCCAGCAAAGTCTAAAATATTTGCTATCTGATCCTTTATAAAAGAATTTTTCTCTAATTGAGATGACTGTCAAGCTTGTTTTTATAGTGAACAGCCTTGACAAACATGCAGACTCCCTGCAGAGGCACCCGGCCCACACCTGCTGCCCCGTGGTTACCAGGCCTCAGGGAGTCAGGGTGACAGAGACCAGCCGCCGCTTACTGCTCTTCCCGGGCACCACACTGTCTTCTGTCTCAGACTTGGGACTTTGATGCGCTCTGCAGCATCCACCAGAGCTCGCTAACTCCTTACCCTAAAAGGAGGGTACCAGCCACTGGTCCTTCACTAACCGTGCCAACCACTGGAAGCCTTCATCTGGAGCCAGTTTAGACGTTCACAAGCGATACAAGTCTACACATGGGTCATATGCTCCATGAGAAACTTGGGGAAAATGTGAGGAAAGGATAAAAAGTATATTAGGGAGACAGCTAGAGCTTTTTAAGGTTACCTTGTATGATAAAGTTTTCTTGAATTGTTCACTGGAATAGAAAAGAAAACGAATCAGTCATCATTCTAAAAAATTAAGCACATTGAATAAACTGATATGTGTGTGTGACATCTGAAGAATATAAAATGCTATCCTGAAGTAAACGCCAATTTGAGATGTGTAAAAGGATAAAAGCATGTCATCAGTGTTATTAATTTTAAAGGGTTTCTTTCACAGATTGTTTACTGTTAAGAGAAGCGCAACCGTTACTTTTTCTTTTCATTCTCAAAGGAACAAATGGAAGCCAGTGGGGGAGTCCGAGCACTGCTGAGGGAGCGAGGGAGGCCTAGATGAGCAGGCCCTACACAGAGGTCCCGTTCCTCAGTAGCCCCTGAGAGAGGGGCCATACGTGCCAGGAGGGCCCCTAGGGCCAGCACCCAGCCAGCTAGGGCAGCGGGGATCTAGTCATTGCAGCCCGGGGCCTGACCTGGTCCCTGGGCAGCAGTGGGGAGCAGAGGAGCAGCTGCAGGGGTGCTGGTTCATGTAAAGCCAGTGGTCTCTGAAGTGTGGAGGAGTCCTCCTCATCCCACAGCCATCCCCGGGGTGCTGGGGCAAGATTAGTGGCTGGGAAGTGACAGATGTAATGAAGGGGGACATTGTGGGTAAGGGTTCTGGATTGGTTGGTTTGCAGGTGAAAGTCATAGCTACCAGCACAAGTTATTTACCCGGATGTCAAAACATCAGAAAACAAAAAGGCACAGGGACACTAGGAGACCGGCACTACCACAGCTGTCCAAGGCAAGCACACAACCCCCGAGCATTGTCTTAATGCTCTAGCCCTTGCTCTCAACTACGTCTCTTGAAAACATACACTGGTACATGTACCGCTAAAGTTACTAGTGTCAGTCATCTTGTTGGAAATGAGTATTGTTTCTACATATTTGAGAAATACTAGCTATTCATAAATTCTCAACTCTGTCTTTGGTGACAGAGAGGTCTAACACACAAAGAAAATCAACTTTCTTAAAACATTGGTTTCAAGGGAGGGAAATGTCAGCAAATCTACAGGGACATGAAAAAGTTAAGACTAAGTCAAGGCATTTCAATCAGTTAAGTTAGAAGCTGAGCAATCATCTTAGAGTTCTTCAGAATCTTTATAGTGCTAGACTTATAAATTTCTTAGTGAGTTGCAAAACTACACATTTTACCAGTATAGATTTAGAATAAAATGAGATTTCAATGGTTGAATAAGCCTCAAATTATATTTTATTGTTTGCTTTTTAATAGTTCCTTTGCTTTTTTCAACTAGCTGTGAATCATAGTAAGAACAGAACAAAACACAAAAAGATGGCTACTATTTGTATTTTACTGTGCTATATGGAAATCTTTAAGTATAAATTCTAATGGAAATTTTCTGAAGTATCCTAGAAATAAATGATGTAAGTGATCGAGAAAGTTTTTGGATATACTATAGGACAATCTTTCTAAACTAACATGAAGTAATCACTGATGATGACCCACAGCAGAGCCGGCTGTCAGCAGGCCACTGGGAGCATAACCTTCCACCATGATGTTCTACCTCACCCAGGCCTAGAGCAACAGCCAACTGACCATGGGCTGAAACCACCAAAACCCTGAGCCAAAATATATCTTTCCTCCTCTTAGCTGTTTATCTCAGGTACTTTGTCTTGTGATGGAAAGCTAACACTACTTACAAATATTACTGCTACTGCTGTTACTAGCAACAGTTCACATTTATTGAGTGCTTACTCTATTCCACTTGTAAGTACTACATATATCATTATGACAAAAATTGTTACTATTGTACATTGTTCCTATTCTAACCCTTATTTTAAATGAGAAAACAGGCAAAAAGAATAACTTGCCTGGGGTTAAGCAACCTATAAAATCGTAAGAAACTAGTACTTGCACCCAAGAAGTACCCATCCAGGTCCTGAACACTTCCCCATTGTACTCTACTGCCTCTTATAAATGATGGCTTTAATTTTACTTAGAAGATACAGAGGTGCTGAAGTGCGTGGACTTCTAGTTGACCACTCCTAGACAGACTTGCTTCCAACTTCAGCAGAGCTGGACCAGGGGAAAATCAGGACAGACAGGAGATGCTCTTTTCCCATAACACTTATGAATACTTGGATTGTGGAAAGAGTAAATGGCCTCAAAATGAAATCTCCTTGTAACTTTATGGCAAACAAGTTTTGTATGCTGGTTTATCTACAGATATCGGTGTCTTAGGTAGAAATGTTAAATGTCACCTTTTTGGAAAGTTAAACTTCGAAGTGTTCTGGATGAAACCGTAACAACAGGGGCAGGTGACGAAGGAAGCCCGGGTTTTGATGCAGTGTTCAATCACCATGTCTGTTGCCACGCCACAAGCATGCAAGGCCACCTGGAAGACAAAAACTAGACCTTTCCACTGGATCCTTTAACCAACAATGAAACTTCTGTGCCTTTAAAAAAATGTGCGACTGATCTTCGAGAGGTTTCAAGTTACCAGGGTATCATTCTATAACAGTTTAAACAGTTCTTATTCGGACATACCAAAGGGCTACTCAGCTATTCATATTAAGAAAATTAAGCCAGGTTGAAAGATTAGAAAAGGAATACTGTGAATAAACCATAAGACTCATAATGGGAAATGTAATGCAATGTCACATGCAGAAACAGAATACACATGGATACCTACACTAGCACTCTGGGTAATTTTGAGTTTAGTTCGGTTGTAGTACTACAGGAAGAACGCTAGAACAGAAATGAGGATTGCAGTCTAGAATTCCAGTTTGTTGGGAGCCCTGGGACCCCTTGAAGTTTAACTTCCGTAGGCCTTTCTCTTCTCAATTGGAAACTATGCCTAACAATACTGATATAACAAAATCCTTACAAAACTGAAATAAAAATGATCTGAAAGCACTTTTACAATTGCTGCATGAATATGATTTAAAAACTGACCAAAGCATTTTTACGTAGCACCTTTCCAGGTGTTTTCATACAATAATCTTTAACACTGAATGATGAGTTGCATCAACTATTTTCAAGAGTTTATTTTAAAAGGGAAGGCTGAAATTGCCTGTTAGAATAATGAATAGGTGATTCTAAAATGTTCTCAAAGCACACACCCTTAAATGTACTTATACATATTATGATCTAAAATAGACAATTATGAAAATTATTAGGCTAAATAAGACAAAATAGGACTCTGAAGGAAAATCAGATGTGGGGATCCTGAAAAACAAAATTATTACATTTGCCAGATAAAATGCTCGGACCTTGATTTCATCCTAGGGAGGGATCTCACCACTTCACAGCAGGCAGGGCTCTCAGACTGAAGAAGTTTTCTGGAAACCTCGGGATTGTAAAGTATTCAAAGTTTTGAGTTGAGACGCTAAAAGCAATACTATATGGAGAAGAGGAAAGAAAGACCTCTCTGCCCCTGTGAATTCTCCCCGCCTTGTAGACTTAAGGGCCACGGAGACCTCAGCCTTCTCCTTGGTGGCTGTCAACCGGCCTTCCTGTCTCACGTGGAAGCCTCAGTAGGTGCCGTCCAGCGAGGGCAGCATGACTGTGGGGAACGCGGGATAAAGATCCTGCTCCCCACCTGCCGTCTTTACTTACTCACCTCTGCAGAATAGAAAACCAGGCCGGTTTTTATTTTCATAGGTGGGGGATCTCCTGGTAATAGTTTTGAGTGCATTTCCCCCAAGAGAGCGACAGCGGGACAGACACGGGCTGTGCGTCCCATGCGCGGGCACCGTGCCAGATGATGGCACGCAGGACACCACCCGGAAAGAGCGTGTGAGCCATGGTTTGCAAGGGAGGAAATGATGGCGTGGAGAAAACGAGAACTGGCTCACAACACACGGCTACTTCTACCTACTGAGGGCAGAACTCTGACCCCAAAGCGTGATCCAATTCCATCAGGGTGCTCGAGGCTCTGCACAAAGAGAACTTCAGACAACGGACTTGCTACTTGCAAAAGACTGAGTTTCTTTTCCTTCTTTTAATAAAATAACTCAGAATATTTACTTGATGGACTTTAGGTCTAAAATGTTTTACTGCATCCCATATTCCTAATTTCCATGGTTATCAAATGCAGGGAACAAATAACAGACAAATAATAAGGAGAGGTACAGAGGAAAGGAACATTACAATTTAGCACGCCAGAGAGGTAGTGTTTCAAACCAGGGAAGAAAAGATGAACTTTTCAATAAGTGATGTTGGATTAACCTGAAAGCCACATGAAAAATAAAAATAAAATATTTTCCTCATATTATATTAGAAATACATTTCAAATGGAGTAGAGCTTTAAAATGCAAAAAATTAGACATGAGTCAATTTCTTCATAACCTAGGGGAGTGGGAAATCCTCAAGACCCCAAAGATCCACACACAATACAGGGTAATGTTAATAAAGCTGACAAAATAAAAATTTTAAAAAATGACTTTTGGATTAGCAAAAAGACAAAATCTTAAATAAAAAGACAAAGTAGAAAAAGGATTTATAATTTACACCATAAAGGGTTAATATCCCTAGTACATAACAAGCTTCTAAAAATAAAAATCTCAGTAATGTGATAGTAAAATAAGCAAGAGATTTGAACAGTTAACTAATACATTATGCAAATGGTCTGTCAGGGTTTAGATCTAAATTCTCTCCCAAAGTCTCATGTGTTTGGAGTAACTGGATCATGAGGTGCTACTCTCATCAGTGGATCAATCCATCCACTGCTGAGTTCAGCAGCTAAATGTGCTGTCAGGAGGTGGCTCTGGTTGGAGGTGGTCACTGGGGGCTGACCTGGAAGGTGTCCTGGATTCTTGTTCTCAGCTCCCCCTTCTCTGCGTCCTGTCTACCCCGAGTCGAGCAGCTTTCCTCTGTCAGCCCCTTCCTCCATGCTCAGAGCCAGCCAAACATGGAAGGAAACCCTAATCAAAATAAAAGCCTCTTCCTTTAAGATGGGAGTATTTTGAGTATTTTGCCCCCACAACTAGAAAGTGGCTAAGACATTTCGGTATCAGGAGTGAGGTCATTGCTGTGACTGTACCTGATGAGGTGATACAGAAGCTTTCGGACACGGTTGTGAGAGGAGTTTGGGAAAGTCTGGAGGTGTGCACTAGAGAAGTCCTAGAATGTTGTGACCAGTGCGGACAGGTGATTCCTGTCAGAGCTCAGGACAGACTGAGGGAATTCGGACAGTAAAGATCAGACTCAGGAAGTTACAGCTGGGAAAAAAGGACTCTACCAGCATTTGGGCTAGAGGTCATTTATGTTACACCCTAGCAGAAAATTTGTCTTCATTTTGCCCATCTCCTGAGACTTTATGGGAGACTGAGATTAAGACAGGTGGACTGACTGATCTAGTAGAAGAAATTTCAGTGTGGCATGGATGTGGGCGTGGCATGGATACTGCTCGTGGCTTTTAGTTAGATCTTCAGTGAGAGTCAGGAGCAAAAGTAGATGTGAAAAGTCTGCAGTTTCATCAGAAAGGACATTCCTGCAAAGTTGTGGCCTTGAAAAGTGTAGTTGCTGAAAGGATTAGTATTTTATTAAACTACAAGGTTAAAAATATGAGAGATAGGAATGATGTGTTAGGTAGAATCATCCCCTAAGGATGCTGTGTCTAATTCCTAAAACCTACAAACAGGGTAAAAAGGATTTTGCAAATGTGATTAAGGTTTGGTCTTCAGAATAACAAGATTATCCTGGGTTACATGGGTGGACTTCATCTAATCACAACAGGCCTTAAAAGCAGATTTTTCTCAGGGACAGATTTTGAAAAATAAGACAGAAAGGGGAGGGTCAAAGAGACTTGAGCCACCAGAAAGACTTGGCACCCCACTGCAGGTTTTCATGGTGAAGGAGGCCATGTGCCAGGGAATGTGGGTGGCTCTAAAAGCTGAGGAGGACTCCTAGCTGACAGCCAGCAAGACACATGAACCTTAGTCCCATAACCAACAACATAAATGGCCTCAGAATAGATTCTGCCTTAGGACCTTGAGGGAAGAGTCCAGTCAACAATTTGCTTTCGGTCTTGTAAGAAGCCAAGCGGAGAATCCAGTTGAGAAGACCTTCATTTCTGAAGCACAAAACTGTTAGATAATCTTTATTATTTTAAGATGTTGAGTTTTTGGTAATTTGTCAGAGCATAAACAAAACCCCCTTTTTTTTTTGTACCAGGGATCAAACTCAGGTCCTTGTGCTTGTGCAGCAGGAGGAGAAACCACTGAGCTAAATCCTCAGCCAGAAAATGTATTCAGATGAAAGCCTTTGGACTATATGCTGTGTGGTTCACATTAAATCATTTTAATTTCTATGCCTTCTTTCAATAATGATTAAATAAGTAAAAATTATCAGATAACTAGGAAAATTTGAATACTGTTTTTAAGATAGAAAATGATACTGTGGTTATTTCTTTTCTTTTTAAAAAGATTTTTAATTTTTTTGGTTAGTGTGGAAAGTAAAACCCAGGGCCTCATGCATCATGCATACCAGGCAAATGCTTTACCACAGAGCAATATCCCCAATCCAAGATTTTAATTTTTTTAAATAATAGTCTTAGGTTGACAGCAAAACTGAGAGGAAGATAGGAATTTCCACATACCCTTTATACTCCCCCATGAGGCTTCCTCATTATCAGTGGCCTGCACCACAGTGGAGAACTGTTAAAAGTAGGTGACCCCACTGACACACCCTTATCCCCGAAGTTCATGTGTTACATTAGGTTCGCTCTATGTACATTCCAGGAGTCTGGACAAATGTGTATCACGTGCCCATCACTACAGTGTTAGACAGTCTTTTCACTGCCCTGAAAATCCTCTGTGCCTCTGCTTACTCCTCCAACCCCACCCCACCCCTGACAACAGCTAATCTGTTCGTTGTCCCCCCAGTTCCGCCTTTCTCGGAAGACTGCACAGTTGGAATCTTACAATACGTGGCCCTTTTCTGTTGGCTTCTGTCACTAGTAATGTGTTTGAGACCCCTCCCTGTCTTTTCATGGCATGACAGTGCATGTTTTTAGTGCTGAATCATATCTATCATATGGATGGACTACAGTTTATCCACTCACCTATTAGAAGAACTCTTGGTTAATTCCAAGTTTTGGCAACCACGAGTAAAGCTTCTATGAACATCCACATGCATGTTTTTGAGCAGATGTAAGGTTTAAATTCCTTTGGGTAAAAAATGAGAGGAGCAATTTCTTGGATTGTATGACAAGAGTATGTTTAGTTTTGCAAGAAGCTGCCAAACTGTCTTCCAAACTGGGTAGTACCTTGGCACATTCCCACCAACTCTGAATGTGGGGTTATATTGCTTCACATTCTTTCCAGTTTGGTGTGGTCAGTGCTCTAGACTTTGGCCACTCTAACATGTGTATAGCAACAACTCATGGCTGTT